GTCTTCAGTAGTACACTGGAGGTGTTTCATGGCCCAGGCAAGGCTCTTTTTCTTATTTTGCCATCTTAGCAATGGCTTTCTTACTACCACATGACCTGTCAAACCTGCAGCTCGAAGTCTTCTCTTCACAGTTGAAACTGAGACTTGTTTACTTCGACCAGTGTTAAGCTGTGCTTGATCTATCACGCAAGCTGTTGACTCTCAGACTCTTCTGATTCTGTTGTGGCTTTGGGTCTGCCAGACCTCTTCCTGTCAGAGTTTCCTCCAGTTTCCAAGTACCTTTTGATGGTGTAGGAAACTGTACTCACTGACACCTTGGCTTTCTTTGCAATTTCTCTAAAGGAAAGACCTACACTTTTAAGGTTTATAGTGGTCTGTCTGTCTTCCTTTGTTAATTGCCTTTTCCTCGCCATTATGATAGCAATATACTACTTCCTGCAGTACAATACTGTCCAAATAATGCTTAAAAGGGTGTAGTAACACAGTCTGTTCCAACACTGCTTTTATACAGACAGGGGGTTTGGAAGTAATCAACAAAAGTTGGAACACCTGTAGGAATTGTTAGCATCAACTTTCAAGGCTTAATTTACTTCCATTGCGGCAGAACAGCTGTAAGTTGTTAACCCATTACTTGTTTGCTGAAAAATGCCTTTTTTTATAATTCTGAAATGTACAAATGAACTGCTTAAATTTCAATAAAAACGTTTGACCAGTAGTGTATATAAAATAATGAAAGCATTTCATAAGAAAACTAAAAGGTGTGCAACATGAAAATATTGTCCTGTGTACATTGTATAATTTATTAACGGTCCCTAAATCCCCATAGAGATATCCAACATCGAACTAACTTTACCATGGTCGCACACTGGCTGAAGCTAATTCGCTAAAGTTTGCTAGCTTGCTAGTTACTTCCAACCACAAATGAGAGAACGCCTCACTCTGACCATTTTGCTTTCCCTAGCAGAGCTGGTTAGACCGTTTACAAGTTATTTCAACCTGGTCTCAGAGCATTTAGAATGATTCTGTACGTAAATCCGGGACACTCCATTTAGTATTATATGTTACGTTTCGTATGGTATGTATTAATTTTGGATGTCCATCACCCATTTTGTATTATTATGTTACAAATTTGCAAAACGTAGAGGTCTTGTGGATGTGGTTGCTCAGCCAGGCACACATCCCTTTGTAAACCCACTGATGTGATGGCCGTTCAATCTTCCTCTCTGTGTGACAGCAACACATCAATCTACAGGAGAAATTGAATAACTCGACTCCCTCCCACCTCCACCAAAATTGGTGACATTACAGCAAAATATGTAAGTGTGTGTGTGTGTGTTTCTGTGTCTGTGTCTGTGTGTAGTGTATGGATGTGTTGAGAAGTTGCTTAATTAACTATAATTCCAATGCAGCTACGTTAAAAAATAAATCATTATTGTGATTAAAGTACATACCGTGCCTAGTGAAAGTCTACACATCCCTTTGACAGTCTTCACATTTTGCTGCCTTAAAATGTTGTGCAAGGTTGGTAGAATCTTATTCAAAATTATTCACAGCTGCAATGGCTGCCAAATGTGCTTCCAACAAGTATTAACTCTGGGGTGTGAAGATATATGCAATCATTACATCCTAATTGTCACGGATCCCCCCGGTGCTGCTGCTCATTCCGTTCACCAGTTCCGGAGGTCTACGTCACCGGCCTTCTAGGCGTCACTGACATGGATCATTACCACCAACCCCGGACAGCCTTGTCTCATTACGCACACCTGGTTCCCATTCCCCCTGATTAGTATGTGTATATATGTGCCCTCTGTTCCCCATTGTCCTTGTCAATTATTGTCCCATGTCCGTTGGTCTCGTGAGTACCGTGTATTGTGCTCTGGTTGTTTACGGGTCTCGTGTCGAGGTTACACCTCGCTCTTTGTTTGGGTTACATCCCTTTTGTGTGTATATATATACGTGTTTGTGTTGGGTGGAGTAATACAACCCCTAATACGTATTCTTGCGCCTGTCTTCAAATCATTATACCATTTCATATTTCTTAGTAATTTGGAGAATTTTCTATAATTTTTATTCCACTGAAAATGTGGTGTAGGTTGTGTAGATCGGAAGAAAATAAATAAAATGTAATCTCTTTTTCGATTGAATTTTAAGGCAGCAAAATGTGAAGACTGTGCAAGGTGTGTGTAGACTTTCACTAGCAACTGTATTCTCTCCATTATCAAAGCCAAGGACTGAAGCTGTGGGAGGAAGGCAGTGGTATTGACAGTGAGTCAGACTGTTCTTTTTTCTCACTGTGCTGTACTTCACCATGCTAAAGATGCATCCCAAATTCCCTATGGGCCCTGGTCAAAAGTAGTGTACTAAATAGGGAATAGGGTGCCATTTGGGACGCATCCCAAGTATTCATGCTCCTGGTATTTTTACACAGTGGAGGTGTTATCTCTGAGACAGATCTTTACCTAAATCATCTCTGACACTCCTGAATAAGATATCAAAATAAGGAGCAGGAAATGATGGAGCACAGGACAGGTCTTCAATCTCCTTATTTTTAGCACGTAGCGAGTTTCGACAGACCTTTGTATCAGTCTTTTGAGGACTGATAAGAATGTGTAATGTCCATAGGTCCAGAGTATCTTCTAGCTTGATTTCCAGTCTGCTCGCGCTATCGCTGCCAACTCCATGTCACTCATTGTCATGCCAACCATGTATCTTCAGTCAGAGCGTTTACATCAGTCTCTAATAGTGAGATTGACTAAGTGATGTACAGATGAAGGATCTTAATTTGAGCCAGTTTGCTACAGCAGGATAATAATCCTGCATCAACAGGAAATGTGAATCACAATATTATGTGGATTATAATTAATGGACATTTTTGTAGGGGTTGATACATTTTTCATAAGGGAAAATTAAGTCAGAAATTTTCAAAGTGAGAATTATTTCAGAAGCCTTTTTAATCTCAAATGCACTATAAATTAAACATTTTCTTTACTGCAGGAAAGTTCTCCTGCAACAGGGTGATCAAATGAGGAGCCTACATCTGTATATGAGAGTAATGCGCTCTTGTGTGGTGCATCGATTCGTTCACACAGTATGTCATCTTTGTTAAGTGCATATGGTCTGTGACCATAATATTAGAGTGTATTGTAATCATCTTCTGAAGAGGTGTAGATTGAGCTCAGTCCCGTTCACTTGGCCCCTTCCTCTTACGGTAATGAGGCTATTTCTATTCATTGTTGTAGTGTGATTGGGTGACTTTTCCTTTGCTGAGCCAGTGGAAGGAGTGTAGTGTTTAAGTGTGTAAGCGATGAGATACACACACACTTAAGACTCTTTATGCTGCTAAATGAAAAGGTTGGATCGTGTGGATCAGGTTAGGCTCTAGCCTAAACTCTGAGTGGGCGAACGCAGTGAGGAATTCATTACCAGAGGCTAGAGATCGCTCAACGCAGGTCCCTTCAGGCGTGCCACACAAGCAGGGAAAATCGAATTCCCCTGATCGATTCTCCTCCCTTTGTGGCGTTGGTGGAGAAATTAGGGCTTGGTGGGTGGGTGGGTGTAACTATCATACATCCATTGGTCTGACCCCTCTACTCATAGGAGTGCTAAATCCCACTGAGGCCTGTATTGGTTGCGTGCCAAATAGCACCCCATTCCCCTTTATAGTGCAAATCTTTAAACAGAGCCCTATGGGCCATTTGGGATGCAGACATGGACTAATCATCCCAAAGCCTACGCTGCTCTCTGTCCCTGAGCTCAGGTGACCAGCTCCACTCTTTATTTTCTCTCTGTCCTCCTCCCTTGCTCTCTCCCTTTCCACTTTTTCCTCTCCATTTGTTCAGAGGAGTAAAAGGTTGTGTCCATTTCAAAGCTTCTGTCCTTTAAGTCTGCCATTGGACTTTATCATGGAGACTTCATTGTGAGAGAAGTCTTGTGACTAATGTATATCCTATTCTGTATAATAATCATTATTCTCTTCAGCTACCATGGGCATCAAGACAATTGAAAGAGTGTGTCTGTTTGTGTTTGTTTAGCCATGCTGCCTGTCTCTGCCCGTCTGAAGGGGATGGACACTTCCTCCACTGTATCACTCCCCATCCTCCACTCCCAAACACCAGTCAATCACCACCAAGGATAAGCCTCTGTCTGCATCTCAAATGGAACCCTATTCCCTATTGGCCCTGGTCAAAAGTAGTGCACTCCACTATATAGGGAATAGGGTGCCATTTGGGATGAAGACTCTGTGTTTCTCTCTGGTATCAGCAAAGCTCATTATCCACTGTGTCTGACTCACTCTGTTCAAAGGAGTTATGGAAAGTGTTTCACTCCAGCAGCTAAGATTAGGCCATCAACAACCTATTGAATGTAAAAACAAAGGTATTATATAAACTAATGAGTAACAGATTACTATAACATACTGCCCCAATTATGAATAATAACAAAATAGTTAGATTGCATTTTGACTGTATTTCTTAGCTAAGTAGATGTTCCCATTGATGGAAACTAGAATATAGACAAAGGAGTTGCAGTTACACCACGTATTATCATCTTAAATATATTTTATATGTTTAAAACTAAGAGAGGGGGTATGTAGTGCATTCAGATGGATTGATTGTATACATGCACAATTGTGTAGAGTGTGTGGGTGATGATGGAAAGATGAGCGTGTGAGCGTGTGTGTGTGTTTGTGTGTGTGACCAGTATGAACACTGTTGCTATAAAACACCCAAATATCACAGTAATTCCAGTAAAGGTTGTGTTTGAAAAACCAGAAAACAGTGACACAACGCCCATCATAGTTTTTTTTCCTTCCATATCATTGTCTTTCAGTATATTCAGTCACATTCCATTTTCTGTCTCTCCATAGTTTGATGTGTTGTCAAAGAGAAGTTAGACTCTGGGGATGCGTCCCAAATGACACCCTATTCCCTGGTCAAAAGTAGTGCACTATATAGGGAATAGGGTTCCATTTGGGATGCATGCAAAGTCTGGTCATGATGACCTCAGCGGTCAGCATTCATCCTGCGTAATTTGGCCGGCAGGTTGTCCTCTGGTCGGCCCCCTCTTGAGGGCAGAGGGGTGTGGATGCGAGTGGGGACAGGGGCTGGTGTGGGAGGCAGCTGCAGGTCTCCAGTGGACTGGGTCATGGGTTCAAAGCCCACCTTCAAGGCCTTGAGCTGCAGCCGAGCTGCAGCCTCTGGGCCGGGGGAGGAGCTGAGACGCTGCAGCTTGAGAGGCAGGTCTCCAGTACTGCAGGCCTTCTCAGAGTGCTGGGAGCTCAGCATCAGAACCTTCCTCTGTAGGTCCTCCTTCCCAGATGAGCTCATCCTCTGAAGCTTACTGGGCAACCTGGACTGCCCCGCCCGCTCCTCCCGGTCCGTAGTGTTGATGCAGTCCACAGAGAAGACACGGGCACGTCGGGCGGCACCGTGGCTCTCGCCCAGCGTGGGGGTGGAGAGGGGTGAAGGCAGGGAGGACTTCTCATCGTGCTCCTTGACGCTGTAGGGTGGGGTGTTGACCTCGAAAGTGCTGTGGAACTGGGAGTAGTCCACCCTGAAGAATCCCTCCTCCAGAGACATGACGGGCAGGAAGCGGTGGCCCCACAACACCTCATCCTCAGTGTAGGACGTCCGCGCCTGACACGTCATACCTGAGAGACAGGGAGAAAGAGTGAAACTCAGCCTCTAGCGTTGACTAGGCAGCACAAACACAGGTGTTAAATAGCCCTGTAATAACGGTCATTTTTAATAAATATGATGAAAATACTGTGGAGTTCAGTTACCATCAAACAATAAGGTGCGAGAGAAAGGAGAAAATGAAGTAGCAAACCAACCTCCTCCCGCTTATCTCATCCTCTCCCTCCATCCCCCTTCTCTTTCCCTCTCTTCCACTCTCAGCACGTGTGGAAACAATTCAGTCTTTGAATTGCTGTCTGACAGCATGAGAAAAAAGCAATTTCCCCAACACAGACCTGCTTTGGCACAGACCTCCCTCACTCTAGCCATACAGGGGAGATTTAAATACTGCTGCGCCCGTAAATCTATGTTCCTCTGACGGATCGTAAAAATGGCCACAGCACTGTTACTCATCGATCCGTTTCCACTTATAGGTTTGGCTGAGGCTGTCCATGAGACAAACAGACTGTGATATTGCACTCACTGTTTACGTCCCTCTGCCTCTGCAGAGTGTGGGGCCATTGGCTCAAATGAGCTTGATGGAAACAGCAGACTAAAGGATATATTGGCTGCAAGTCATAGCTAGATAAAAAATATATATATATTTCTATATCTAGCTCTGTCTCAAATAAACCTCATCCTACCTGATTCTACAGCTGTTCTTTTGTATCCATGGCAATCACTAGAGGGCAAAGGTTACTCATCCCTTTGATCAGTGTTGAAATGTATTTAGTGATAATTACCTGTTGTTTATTTCTGCTCAGGCTAATAAGGAATCTCCTAACACCACCTTTACCAGATCCATACCTTGATGCTGCAGGAGCCTTGGGCACTCTCATCACATCACTCCTATCAATGGCACTAATAGCCATATTCATAGAAATTAGTTGAATCTAGTCTACCATAAACAAAATATGATAATCCTAAGTAAAGAGCAGTAACATTGTAGCAGGAATTGCAGCATCCATGCAGCAATAAAAGGAAAACATGTAGCACCTGTAGCCGAGGAAAGGGTAGTCTGGTATTGCTGTTTGCATGATGTCCTATAGTCCTATATGAAAAGGTCCCTATACCAGTGGTTGGTTACATTACATCCTGGTCCTATTTGAAAAGGTCTCTAGGAGTCAGTCAGATAATGACCGGAGCATCATCCTAAGCACAGCCTTCTCTGCGTGCTTCATTAATAAATGCATTGGCGACATCGTCCCAACAGTGACCGTACGTACATATCCCAACCAGAAGCCATGGATTACAGGCAACATCCGCACTGAGCTAAAGGCTAGAGCTGCCGCTTTCAAGTGGACGCTTATAAGAAATCCCATTACGCCCTCCGACGAACCATCAGACAGGCAAATCGATGTGGTAGGGCTTGCAAACTATCAAAGATTACAATGGGAAACTCAGCCACGAGCTGCCCAGTGACATGACCAGACAAATTAAATGCCTTCTATGCTCGCTTCGAGGCAAGCAAAACTGAACCATGCGTGAGAGAACCAGCTCTTCCAGACAACTGTGTGATCACACTCACCGTAGTCGATGTGAGTAGGACCTTTAAAGAGGTTAACATTCACAAGCCTGCAGGGCATGACGGATTACCAGGACACATACTCAGAGCATGTGCTGACCATCAGGCAAGTGTCTTTACTGACATTTTCAATCTCTCCCTGACCCAGTCTGTAAGACCTACATGTTTCAAGCAGATCACCATAGTCCCTGTGCCCAAGAACGCCAAGGTAATCTCTCTAAATGACTATCGCCCTGTAGCACTCACATCTGTAGCCATGAAATGCTTTGAAAGGCTGGTCATGGTTCACATCAACATCATCATCCCAGACACCACTCCAATTTCGCAATCCGTCCCAACAGATCCTCAGATGGCGCAATCTCTACTGCACTCCACACTGCCCTTTCCCACTTGGACAAAAGGAACACCTACATGAGAATGCTGTTCATTGACTACAGCTCAGCATTCAACACCTAAGTTCCCTGAACACTTCCCTCTGCAACTGGATCCTGGACTTCCTGATGGGCCGCCCCAAGGTGGTGAGGGTAGGCAACAACACATCCGCCACGCTGACCCGCAACACAGGGGCCCTTTAGGGGTGCATGCTTAGTCCCCTCCTGTACTCCCTGTTCTCCCACGAATGCATGGCCGTGCACAACTCCAACACCATTATTACGTTTGCCTGACGACACGACGGTGGTAGTTCTGATCACTGATGACGATGAGACAGCCTATAGGGAGGAGGTCAGAGACTTGGCAGTGTGGTGCCAGGACAACAACCTCTCCCTCAACATCAGTAAGACAAATTAGCTGATTGTGGACTACAGGAAACAGAGGGCCGAGCACGCCCCTATTCACATCGACAGGGCTGTGGTGGAGCAGGTTGAGAGCTTCAAGTTCCTCTGTGTCCACATCACTAAAGGATCTATCATGGTCCAAACACAGTCGTGAAGAGGGCACGACAATGCCTCTTCCCCTTCAGGAGGCTGAAAAGATTTGGTATGGGCCCTCAGATCCTCAAAAAGTTACACAGCTGCACCACCGCTTGGTATGGCAACTGCTTGGCATCCGACCGTAAGGCGCTACAGATGGTAGTGTATACTGGGGCCAAGCTCCCTGCCATCCAGGACCTTTATACCAGGCGGTGTCAGAGGAAGGCCCAAAGAATTGTCAAAGACTCCAGCCACCCAAGCCACAGACTGTTCTCTCTGCTACCGCGCGGCAAGCGGTACCAATGCACCAAGTCTGGAACCAACAGGACTCTGAACAGCTTTTACCCCTAAGCCATAAGACTTCTAAACAAGACTGCTAAATAGCTAATCAAATGGCTACCTGCATTGACCCTTTTTTGCACAAACTATTTTGCACTGACTCTACCCACACACTCACACATACTTACACTGACACTCCAAACACACACACACACACACACACACACACACACACACACACACACACACTGACGCCACACGCACACACTTTCATACTCACCATATACGCTGCTGCTACTGTCTATTATCTATCCTGTTGCCTAGTCACTTTACCCCTACCTATGTGTACAGTACATAGCTACCTCAATTACCTTGTACCTCTCTCTGCACATCGACTCAGTACTGGTACTCCCTGTATATAGCCATGTTATTTTCTACTCCCTGTATATAGCCATGTTATTTTCTACTCCCTGTATATAGCCATGTTATTTTCTACTCCCTGTATATAGCCATGTTATTTTCTACTCCCTGTATATAGCCATGTTATTTTCTACTCCCTGTATATAGCCATGTTATTTTCTACTCCCTGTATATAGCTATTTTATTTTCTACTCCCTACATATAGCCATGTTATTTTCTACTCCCTACATATAGCCATGTTATTTTCTACTTCCTATATATAGCCATGTTATATTCTACTTCCTATATATAGCCATGTTATATTCTACTCCCTGTATATAGCCATGTTATATTCTACTTCCTATATATAGCCATGTTATATTCTACTTCCTATATATAGCCATGTTATATTCTACTCCCTGTATATAGCCATGTTATATTCTACTCCCTATATATAACCATGTTATTTTCTACTCCCTATATATAACCATGTTATTTTCTACTCCCTATATATAGCCATGTTATTTTTACTCGTTATTTTTATTCATTATCCACTGTGTATTATTTTGATTTTATCTTTAACTCTGCATCGTTGGAAAAGGACCCGTAAGTAAGCATTTCACTGTTAGTCTACATCTGTTGTCTACGAAGCATGTGACAAATAAAATTGTATTTTATTTTTTATTTTATTTAATTTGACAGGCCAGGTTTTTTGACCTCAGCTCTTGTAAAATTATTTCCTTGACAATGATATCTGTATCGAGAGCCCTCACCGATCAATAAGTCCTGTATTGCTCTGTTAAACAGAGCTGGCTGACTGCAGAAAGAGAAATTGATCCTTTCCCTGACGTTTGACTGACACAGTAATATCACTACCAAGGGGTTATTACAACCTAAGCCTAAGGTTTTACCAAAACCCTTGACTATCCTCAACCCTAAGCTGAAATTAATTCAAGTTTTTTTCTATTCCTGCATATAGAATTTGGTGATAATTATCTATAATTTGCCCATTGATGGTGGATACATGACTGGGAAGGTATACAGTTGCAGGAGGAAATTATGTGGCGTCAGAGCCCAACGTTCCTGCCAGTTTGCCCCATCATCATCCAAGTGTCCTGAGGCACACTGACAGTCTGTTATGTTTTGTGGGTCTTGAATGAAAATCAAAGCAGTTGAGCAAGTGAGCAAACAGCTGGTGGACAGAGAGAGAGACGCGTCCCTGAAGAGAGCTTTATGTAAAGCCTCCACTGGCACTACTCAAATGGTGCATTTCCATAATACAATGACTTTTCTTCTCCTAGCCTCTTTTTCAATCCTACTACTGGCTCTCTTCATCTAGCACACACACACACCTGTCAGAAAGCTGTGACAACTAGGCCTACATACCACACATCTCTAGTGGAACAGGAGCTGATGCACAATCATAGTGTGGTAGTAGAGAGACCCCATAATCATCTAATCAGATACCAGAAAGATGCAAAGGCTATCAGTTGGTGACAGAAGGTTTCTCAAATGGCAGGACAATGCTCTGTCTGTCTCTCAGTGGATGATATGGATATCTTTCTCTGGGGAGTAAGGGATGTCTGTACACTGTGCACAGGACCACACAGGTGACTCCAAGGCCACCTCATTCATACAGAGCAGAACCCCTCCTCAGCCCCCTGCTTCTCAGCTCAGAGAACCACAGTGCTGCTGAGAGAGAGAGAGAGAGAGAGAGAGAGAGAGAGAGAGAGAGAGAGAGAGAGAAGAGAGATAGAGAGATATCATATATCCTAGATAGATAGAGATAGCGAGATCCGATATATCATCTATCTCTCATCTCTCTCAGCTCATCTCCTCTCTCATCTCGCTCGCTCGTCGCTCTCTCTCTCTTCTCTACTCTCCGTCCTCATCCCTTTTTTTCCTCTTCCTTCTTCCTTCCTCCAACAGAGCACGACCGTGCTGCCTGCCTGCCCATCCCTCCCTCCTCCCTATTCAGGCTTCATGCTTCTCTCTTCTTTCTTCTTCTTTTCTGCCCAGGACAACGAGAAAGAGGGAGGAGGGGGAGAAGAACAATGAGAGTAATGAAAGGAAAAAGATTAAGGGAGCAGAGAAATACATACATAAAAAACAAAAGAAAAAAAAAAAAGAGAAAAAACAGGGAAGAAGTGGGAGATGGAAATGGAAGGCTGTGAGGAAGGAGACGAAGGGTGAGGGGGGGACAGTGCGTGGTTATGAGGCAGTGCGGGGGTAGTCAAGGAATAGGTTGATGCAGGTGAATGTAATTTATGTATGAGTATTAGAATGAGGAATCGTATTGTTCGATGTAGAAGACAGAAAAACACTTTTGTTGCCGTAGGCGACCCAGCACACCTGCAGCCTGCCTGTAGTTCAGTACAGCTGTTGTGTTCAACGTCTCTTACAGTTTCAGAATTAACCCTGCATTCTGCCCAGTGAGAAATAGAGTAAAACTTCAGCTGAACCCCCAGCTTAGTTATCTAACATTCACATCTATGACCGTATCTATTTTACATGGGGTAGGGATAAAAACCATCCTGCGGTATTAAAATGTCCCTCATAATTCAATCAGGAAGCCATTCCCTGGTGCTGTCCTCAATACCCAACGTCCACCTCTCCACTGTTCGCTCTGTTTACCACTGAACGCTTATTAAGATCTGTTAGATTCTTACAGGGTTTTGCATGGGCGGGAGTTTTGGCTTTCCATCGTGAAACTTGTTTGAGAAATAGTTTTTTGGCCCAAAACTATTTTTGCCAATTTTAATGGAAACCTTTTACAGTAAGGTACTTAATTGTTACCCAGAAATGATTTGATATTGACATAAAAACGGCTGCATTGGGCCTTTGAAGAAGAGAGTAAGGGGTTAAAAGGAGGGGAAAGGGTAGTGAAAGAATAATCAATTAAAAAGGAGGAGAGAAGGGTAGGAAGAAGAGAGTAAAGGGTTAACAGGAGGAGAGAGGGTAGTAGTTCTTCACCTGTGGTCTCCACAATGCCCTCCAGGATGACAACGATCTCAAACTGCTCGTTCATGAGGGAGCGCTGGGACAGGTCAAAGAAAGGGCTCTTAGGATTGATCTCGTGGCAGATGGTGAGAGGTGACACTAGGAAGAGCTGGTCCGCACCCGTCCCAAAACCCACATCCAGCTCACACTGGTCCAGGGGTAGGAACTCTCCCTCCGGGGTCTGACGAGACTGGGAGAGAGGGAGGGAGGGAGAGAGAGTGATGGGGAGGAGAGAAGGAGAGAGAGAAAGGAGAAATGGGGGGGGGGGGAGCGAGAGAGAGCGAGAGAGAGAGAGAGAGATAGAGACTTTAAACTGTAGACTTGCATTTTTTCACTCTACCATGGCATCTGTTGGAGTCACTCTACAGTGCTACCAATATGATTGTAGATAACAGTGTGACAGGAGCAGAGTAGCGTGGAGCCTATCACTCTTCTCTACACTACCACATGCTGTTTGTCTTGTTGTTCATTTCCTATTTTTCTCCCCTTCCGGAGGTGGGTGAGTGGACAGCACATCAACCAACACAAAGTAGGTGCAGACAAAAGTAATATAGGAACATTTCAGGACATGGGAGTGCAACTCTCACTCGTTTAGAAAAATATTTGTATATTGATATCTATGATAAAGAATTCATGTTTCAGGTGCCTTCAGCACAATGTACCTATTTTCTTTCATAGCCCAGCACACCATCACATCCCCCTCCCTTTCTCTCCAACCCAGGGAAGCACCATACATCTGTGCAAGGAAACATCCACTAAACTCCTCTAGTGTCACTCACACATTCCTTCTTCTGAATATTCAAGGCTGCTTTGTTTGCGGCGTTGCAGTGGTAGGCCTGGCCTTTCATATTAATTTGCAGTAGGCCTGGCGAGGGTTAGATGAGGAGGTGGAGGAGAAAATCCTATTTAGACAGACCCAGCCTACGGCGTGCTAACTGGTGCGAAAGCATTTAATTGCCCAGATGAAGACCGGGCACAGCGCTGGGCTCTCAGCTGTCTGAGCTAAGCTGAGCTGGGCTCCTCTCTTTAACTCTCTCTGTCTCTTTCGTTCTCTCTCACTCTTTCTGTTGCCCTCTCTAATAGTTATCTCTCTCTGTGTCTCCCTCCGCCTCCCCTCTGTCTTTTCCTTATACCCATCTCTGTATCTCTCTCTATCTGTAAGTCTGTGCACAATGCAGCTGCTGGGATTTTCCGTAAGGAAAATAAGTGGGTTAATGAACATGAATGGGCCAATCAGCAGAAACAATAACAAAGCCGGCTCCCCACCACTGTTTCTGTAAAAAGATGAGGGATTGGGCTGGATGAATGTAATTCATAGACAGAGCTATTGATTCAGGGACTGACCATTCATGATATCAAAATTATAGTTTTAACCATGTTTTGAGGCTATACAGTGTTTGTTTACATTTACTTTGTTTACAAACATTGGAGTAAAACAAGCTTATATTTTAGGTTCTGACGGGGTACGGCAGTTAAACTAAGCTCATAAGTTATATTCTTCAAGAAACAATGGGAAATATAATTAATTGATGTCAAAAAATGTATGTAGCAACTGCTGATTGGCCATTTAAGACATGCTTTTTGTCCAAAATTGAGGTTTTGTGGTTAAAACTGAAGGACAACTGAGTGTGGAGAGTCCCAGAATTGTTTATATTCCCACTGTTTTGAAGTGTTATTCACATTGAAGGACACAGTCTTCATTTTTTCAGTTTTTGAACGTTCTTTCTCTCTCTGTACAGTAAGTCTCCAAAACTGAGGGAAAGATTGTTACTGCAGTTCTCATCTCTGTTTCTTATCTCAACCTTCCTGATAATTGGGATGATGTGTCAGCCTCACCGCCTACACACACCTCACCTCTAACTCTTCTCTACCGCGTACACACACACACACACACCCTTCACATTGCACCCCCACACAGTCCCACTCCTCCACTCAACACACTGCTGTTGCTGTTTTAGGATCCTCTTATCCTGCCTCCTACCTGCTATATGAATCTCAAGAGAATTTCTTCCAGAACAAACCATATAACCTGTAGTGGGAAGTAATGTTTGACATGTGTATATACATTATTTTATATATACCTCACTTCTAGTCCTTGGGCCCATGTGACCAGGAGTGTCTTCCATGGGAGCGTTGACAATGTGCTTTTGACATGCCAATGTCCCTAAGTACAAATTCCTTCAACTAAGCTCAATAAAACATCATTCTTTGTTAACGGCAGAAAGATTACATCAGTTCAATCAGTTCTCAACATTTGATGAAACATTATTACAGTCAAGAGTTACTAGTCACTGTTCGGCTTTGCATGTTGTCAGATTGGTTGGTCTGGTCAATGGTATCCTCAAAGTTTATCAAGCATGAATCAAATGGATATAAAATGGAATGAAAGGCCATTAAATGCTTAATTTAAGTTACACTAAGTGTCAAATTGTACTTTTCTTTGAGAAAGACAGAAAGTTCAATTGAAAAAGCCTCTCCACTCTGGGAGGAAGTTTGCCTTGAAAATATTAAATCAAATCACCCCAAGATCAATTATTGATTTTAAATTAATAGAAATAGATAATAATAATAAAATAAACACATAATGTCAAAAACAAAAAGCAATAAAATGTTCTGTAAAACAGTTGAATAACAACAAAGGTAGTGACACGTCTATGTCTAGTAAGAATTAGCATAAATCAATATTAGAATTTAAAAAACAAATGTATTTGGTTGCTAAATTATATCAACGTTCTCTGCCAACAGGTCATAAAAGCAATTTTGAACTGGTTTCTCAACCACCAGAGGGTCTTCAAAGTAAATGAGTTGAAATGTTTTTAGACCCAATCAGGAAGAAGAGACTTACCTGCATCTTTAAACATTGATTTAAATGGTACAGTGGCTTGCGAAAATATTCACCCCCCTTGGCATTTTTCCTATTTTGTTGCAGTACAACCTGGAATTAAAATGGATTTTTTGGGGGGTTTGTATCATTTGATTTACACAACATGCCTACCACTTTGAAGACTCAAAATATTTTATATTCTGAAACAAACAAGAAATAAGAAAAAAAAAACTGAAAACTTGAGCGTGCATAACTATTCACCCCCCCCCCCCCCCCCCCCCCCCCCCCCAAAAAAAAAAAAAGTAAATATTTGTAGAGCCACCTTTTGCAGCAATTACAGCTGCAAGTCTCTTGGGGTATGTCTATAAGCTTGGCACATCTAGCCACTGGGATTTTTGCCCATTCTTCAAGGCAAAACTGCTCCAGCTCCTTCAAGTTGGATGGGTTCCGCAGGTGTACAGCAATCTTTAAGTCATACCACAGATTCTCAATTGGTTTGAGGTCTGGGCTTTGACTAGGCCATTCCAAGACATTTAACTGTTTCCCCTTAAACCACTCGAGTGTTGCTGTAGTAGTATGCTTAGGGTCATTGTCCTGCTGGAAGGTGAACCTCTGTCCCAGTCTCAAATCTCTGGAAGACTGAAGCAGGTTTCCCTCAAGAATTTCCCTGTATTTAGCGCCATCCAACATTCCTTCAATTCTGACCAGTTTCCCAGTCTCTGCCGATAAAATACATCCCCACAGCATGATGCTGCCACCACCATGAGTCTCCCACATGCCTTTTGGCGAACACCAAACGTGTTTGCTTATTTTTTTCTTTAAGCAATGGCTTTTTTCTGGCCACTCTTCCTTAAAGCCCAGCTCTGTGGAGTGTACGGCTTAAAGTAGTCCTATGGACAGATACTCCAATCTCTGCTGTGGAGCTTTGCAGCTCCTTCAGGGTTATCTTTGGTCTCTTTGTTGCCTCTCTGATTAATGCCCTCCTTGCCTGGTCCGTGAGTTTTGGTGAGCGGCCCTCTCTTGGCAGGTTTGTTGTGGTGCCATATTCTTTCCATTTTTTAATAATGGATTTAAAGGTGCTCCGTGGGATGTTCAAAGTTTCTGATATTTTTTTATAACCCAACCCTGATCTGTACTTCTCCACAACTTTGTCCCTGACCTGTTTGGAGAGCTCCTTGGTCTTCATGGTGCCATTTGCTTAGTGGTGCCCCTTGCTTAGTGGTGCTGCAGACTCTGGGGCCTTTCAGAACAGGTGTATATATATTGAGATCATGTGACAGATCATGTGACACTTAGATTGCATACAGGTGGACTTTATTTAACTAATTATATGACTTCTGAAGGTAATTGGTTGCACCAGATCTTATTTAGGGACTTCATAGCAAAGGGGGTGAATACATATGCACGCGTCACTTTTCCGTTATTTATTTTTTAGAATTTTCTGAAACAAGGTATTGTTTTCATTTCACTTCACCAATTTGGACTATTTTGTTTATGTCCATTACATGAAATCCAAATAAAAATCCATTTAAATTACAGGTTGTAATGCAAAAAAATAGGAAAAACGCCAAGGGGGATGAATACTTTTGCAAGGCACTGTAGATGCAATGGAACATTCCTGGTTAAGACATGCTGTCCTAGATTCAGTATTAGTGGCCCATGTAACAATTGTTTGGAATGTGTTATCTACAGGACCCCCCAAATCTAACGCTTTACTCAGGTGAGAGCCTGATTTTCACGTGATGGGGTTTTATGGCCAGAATATTCATAGAAAGGTTTCCACAGTCGCTCTGCGTACTGTTCGAAAGGTTCTCTTGTGCCCTGCTTACAGGCCATGAACCTAGTCCAGTCTGCATGCGATGGACCACGAAGAGCGAGAAAGTTTGCTTTGAGCCGCTCTAAGATGTCTGCATTGGTTTCATTGTCAAACAGCTGGTTGACAATTGTGCCATCCTTAAAATAATCTGTGGCTCTGTGGGCAATTTCACTTGGAGTTGAGAGCAAAAGTACTTGCCATACATCTCGCATTTCAAGAATATACGCGTTGTACTGGGTCTTCATCCGTTCCCACCATGGTGTGAATGGAGATTTCACTGGGAATGGTCCAATATCATTTAAGTGAGAGGTGGCCTCACTGCATATTAACCTGCGCAAAATGACAGACTCTTCGCCTGCATTGTTTGTAAATGTCCTAATGACATTTGCTACTGCCCTAAATGGACTCGCTAGTCTATGAGGAGTGCGACAGCGGCTAGGAGTTTGAATATGTGGGTGGCATAACATGCGTTTTGGAGTGCAGCTGCACTCTCCACAGTCATCTGTAAAGCCAACAACACTAGCGGTATCTGAAACGTCACCAGTGCCTG